TACGATATGCGGTATCAAATACCATGGCGGTATATGGGAGCACTCAAACAGACGCGGTATTGGAAGTGCGGTACACCGCGGTACAGAACTCTACCGCAGCATGCAGCGTTCACCGCGCGGTATGCGAAGATATATCGTAAGCAGAGTTACAATTTAGAGCTAGAGTTCTACCACATATTTTATCTACAAAAGCGCTATAGATTATAAATTCTACCTTTTTCATGATAAAAAACGTGAGTTTAAAAGTGCTCGTAATACATACGTGATATTCTTTGGTTTTGTTTCTCACAAAGTAAATAAAATAAAGTTGAACTTTTTCGTTTGTTTGAAAAATGTTTTTCAAATCTGGCAATGTTGCTCAGAAATATGAACGGTAAATTTACTGGAATTTAAATTCTTTNTTTACGCAAATCCCTAAATTGAATTTGATGGTTTGGAAGTTGAAATAGTAAAATACGACTAATTAAACTTGTAAGAAATAAGTAATTATTCGTTTAGTCAGTAAACTGTGTCAGGATAAGAATTCAGGATTTGTTTTCTTACGTTTTCAATTTTATACTTTTTACAGGTCTATTCTGCGCTGGTAACATAAATTTTATAACCGGTAATTAAAGTGTCTGTCAATTTTTAAACCTTTTTCGCATTCTGTGCTCTTTTGTAACCGGTAAATTTGGTTACCATCTCAGAAGCTGGTAACAAAATATTGCCCCGCGAAATATGCAATACAGGAATTTCCACAAATCTTCATAGCTGAGTTTCTGAATACTTTCACTGCATTACCAACGCACCTAGAATCGCGGTGACAAGAAGTGGTAACATTTTTTGGTAATAAAATTTTCCGGTCACAAAATCTTCGGTAAAGTGCAGAATAGACCTGTTAATGTAAACAAAATTTCTATCAGCTGTTCGTCTAGTTTGTAAGTTTCTGCAAATTTTCTGTTCGCGTACTATTTTGGATACTTTTCTCTTGTGAGAGAACAGATGATATTTCGTCGGAATTTCGCCGTTGGACATTTTTTACTGGAGATTTTAAACGAACGTACCTATTGACTATCCAACATTTAACAGAATTGTTACGAACGGCTTTAACTGACCTAAAACCAAAGCCAAAGGAATCTTTTGAATTTTCTTTTATATCTATCTTACGTACAATAGAATAATAATAAAATTAATGTTTTTCATTTCTAATAATAATTTTATTTAAAAATAAAGTTTTTGTTTTTTTTATTCTTTTTTGTGGCTCTTTGCAGCATTTAGAACTCTTAGATGTGGCTCTTTTCGGCCTCGGCCTTGCCCACCCTGCTATATACATTTTCATACAAGGCAGGATTAAACAGTATTAAAAATATGCTGCAGAAACACAACAGCAAACAACAGCTGAGCTAAGAAGCAATTACATGCTATAACAGTATGTTTGAGATGGAATGGCATAGCAATGCATGAAATTTTTGAAAATGACATTTTAATAGATACGCCGGGAAGAAGTAAAGAAAATACTTAAATTTATATTTTGTTACCTACTTCACCGATTTGAAATCTGAAAACTATACCTTTCATGAGCATGAAATGGTATTATAACTTTGGCCCGATATTTGTAAGTACCAGAGTAAGAAGAGATAGACTCATGAAAATGTGTACTTATGTATGTGATCAGAATATCGAGCTGAGTCTACTTAGGCTTATGGCAACCGAACCTCAGTTGGGTGGCTACTGGCTGAAATGGTTTTACAGATGGCAACTGCAAGCTGGCAACTGAGTTGCTATATTGGTAATTGCATTTTTGTGGTCGCTGCGGTAATAATCGAAGATTGTATACCTACATATAAGGTAAACTTCGTAGCGACGCCCATGCTACCATTAGCAAATTTCCGCATATTCTACAACGCGCTTCATGACCATTTTTGCCATTTTGTATATGCATAACCTGAAGATAATTTAGGTCGGCTGTCTTAAGTGAAGTCATTCTAAAAGCTTACCCAACAAGGACTGAAAAAGTGCTTCCCTGCATGCTTCCTAGAAAAGTGTTTCCTATTTATAATTTACACAGATAAACCTAAGTAAATGTTTATATTACTTAGCATTACAAATAAGATTCAATAGGCATTTTAAGTCTAAATAAAACTATTTGATATGAACCTTACATAAATTCCTTAAAGAAGTATGATTTTTATGAATTAAGAAAGCTTTTTAAAGACCTTCTTCAAAAAGCGTCCTACAAAAGCCCTTCTGAAAGCTCATAATTGAGCACTCCATACAAAAAATGAAGGAGAAAGGAAAAAAAGGCCTTTTGGATGAGATTTTAGATCCTGAAATTACCTTCTGGGTATTACTTATGTATGACCCCACCGCCGTGTACCTGATCAGGAACTTGCACATTTTTGGCATTTGCCTGAAAAAAATTGAGATTTTAAACAAATAAGCTAAACAGAAAGAAGGTAAACTCACCAGATATTCAACATGTTAGAAAAAAAGTTTCGCTATCATTATGACAGAAAGCTTAACCTTTTGTTCGTAGCAAAATCTGCTTAAAATTAGAGAGGTGTCTGCATTGGCCTTCATTAAAAAACCAGGACAACTTTAGTGTGGACCAGGACACCAGGACAACTTTAGTGTGGACCAGGACACCAGGACAATTTGTCTAAATCAGGACAAATCCTGGAAAACCAGGACGTCTGGCAGCCCTATTCTAGATATTGTGTATATCAGTTAAGACAGAAATTTTTCTTTCATAAGTGTTCATGCGAACATTTGAATTGATTAATTGTTACCTTCGTTCTCTGAATAATATTCAAGAATATACTATCTATTTGTCAACATTTCAGAACAACGATTATTATCTTAAGGGGTTTCTACGTTTGTTGAAAAGCAAACGCTTTGGAGCCGGAGTCGATTTAGACTCGGAGATTGTGGGCTCTCCGCTGATGCAGCTAACGCCTGAGGCTATAGATTGGCGTACCAAAGGCTTCAACACCCAACCGGATAATCAAAAAACCTGTGGCTCTTGTTACGCCTTCAGCATAGCCGAGAGCATTGAGGGACAAGTATTTAAACGGACGAGACGGGTATTACACCTCAGGTAAGCCAATTCCTTGTACAATATTTTTCACACGTATTTTGAAGCTTATTAACGACCACATTAGCCACGTTTTATCTGAAGTAGGAACCTTTTCCGTGTATGGCACGATTATGTATACCGCTTTAAAAGATGTGTTGCGGAGGGCATATCTCAGGTCCTTTATACTCTCGTTTCAGCCCCCAGCAGATTGTCGATTGTAGTGTTTCGCATGGTAACCAGGGTTGTACTGGTGGATCTCTACGGAACACGCTGAAATATCTACAGGAAACCGGGGGCATTATGCGTGAACAGGATTACAGATATGTTTCGAAGGTAAGAGTACAAAAGGGTTTTCTGGTGCTCAGAGTTTTTCAGGTGTTCAGCGCTTTACACAAAAGCACGCCACTCTAATTGTATTTGGTCTTTTTTATGGCATCCAAGGTAGCGTTTATTGAATGTTGAAAATATCAAAAGCGCTTCTTTTCGCATGGAAACCCTATATTTACTGTTGTTTATATCAGAAACCGATCATAAAGTTTATAATTAAATATATGTAACTTTTTAGTAAACATTTTTTAGTTTTAGTTTTGCTCAGAAAATAAAAGTAATTATTTTTTTGCTTAAAATTTGGAGTTCAGTGCTTTTTATTTTCAATTTAAGTCACTTACAATTACAATTACTCATTGACAGCATTGACGGTTTTTAACATCAGTTGTGTCCTAGACCACCCCCTCTAACTATGGTAACTATAACTTGTATTTTTGAGATTGCAATTAGAATGTTTGATTGAATCAGTGACTTGATTGCATTCAAAATCATTGCAATAAGAAGTGCTTATAATCAAAAGGATTGTAGTCGTGGGCTATATTTGATTGTAGGTTGTAGTTTTTACAATCAGAAAAAAAACAATCAATTTTGATTGTAATCGTATTAGTAGCACAATCGTTGCAAATTTTTACAGCTCCGCAAAAGTTACGTATTTTTATCCCTAGAATCGAAATCTTTAGTAAAAATATGTATATCTATCCGGTCGAAACCGAAAGTCGGTGATAACACCAAAAGATAGAGCATCCTCCATTTAGTAGGTCACATTTCCCTTCATTTTAAAGGGGTGGAGGGTGGTCTAGGACACCCTGTATAAATTTGTATTGCATACGTAAAGGAATTTTTAAAAGAATCATCATCTGCATTTAAAGTGGTGACCTGAAATTGACTGTAATTTTAATGTGAGCAGGCGGGAATTAAAACGTAAATAGTTTTAAGGCTTTTGCTAACCCCTGCGACCGCAACATATTCGAATAAGTTGCAGGGTCTTACATGTAAATGTTTTGGTACTAAAATGGTATATACATACATAAAACATTTTTCAACTGTGTTTTTTTTTTGCAGAAAGGTGTATGCCAATTTGCCCCAGAGCTTGCTGTGGTAAATGTGACATCATGGGCAATACTACCAGCAAAGGATGAGAAGGCAATTGAAGCGGCAGTGGCGCACATTGGACCAGTACCCGTTTCTATAAATGCAACTCCACGGACTTTTCAGCTTTATAGGTCAGTTTACAAAGTCGGTTTATTTATATTTACCAGGGACGTGAACCGGATGAAAAGTTTGGTCGGTTCGGTTCAGCGGTTCGTACCGTTTTTGCATTTTTGGATTGGTTCGTCAAAGTGGTTTTTTGGCCTTTGAACCGGGGATTCGGCTCGGTTCAACGGTTCGAAAAACAAAAAAATTACGCGCAAGTTTAAGTGTCAAGTGTCAAGTGCAACAACGCGCAAGGTTAAGGGTCAAGTGTCTGTCAAATGAGATGGGTTGCCTTTACATTTGATATTGTCACATGGTAAATAAACATGGTGGGTATTATCATGTGGGTATTACCAAAAACAAAAAAAAGTGGGTACATTTATCTATTGAAAATTGGTTGACACGAACCTTTCAATCTTTATAGAAAGTGGTTCGGTTTTCGGTTCGGATCAAACATTTGTGGAAAATTTTGGTTCGGTTAATGGTTCAGTTAATTAATAGAAAAGAGCGGTTTTCCGGTTCAAAATCGGTTCGGTTCAAAACCGGTTCACGTCCCTGATTTTTACCCTAACGGAAGCAAGTGATTTTTTAAATCAATTAATTGAAAGACTATTTTGAAACAAATGCAGTGAGTAAATGTTTCGAATTTTGATACTCTTTTTACTCAAAGAAACAATTTGTGTTTTGGAAGTATGAAAAGACATCTGTGAAGTGCAGAACGAAAGCGTATTCAAAAAACATACTGACTTTGAAAAGCTTTAATCCAAATACATTTTAAAGTAGTTGAAATCGAATGCAGAGTCGAACAATCGACTTGCTGCTTGCACGCAATTCAAACTGAACAATTGAAAGCACACTCACACGTTTGTGAAGTGCAGAACGTAGGCGTATTCAAACGAAACATACTTACTTTGAAGCGCTTTAAGCCAAATGCATTTTAAAGTAGTTGAAATCAAATGCATAGTCGGATAATCGACTGCATCCTAGGACATCGCCATGTTAAATACAAAAGTTCGTTGCAGGGGAAAAAGTGAGAATTTAAATCAGTTATTATTGAAAATAAAGTACTTTATAAATTACTTTCAAAGTAATTTAATTTCTTGCAGGGTAAGGAGTCCATCAGAGTTCACTTTTGACATTTGTAAGATAAGTTCTGCTGTAAAATTTTAGATAACAGTAAGGGCATCAAAACCCTTTACGAAGTCAAGCACTGCTAAGTTGAGTGACGGTCAAGTAGTCAGCTAAAGTTCATTTAGCTCAGTTTTTAGAGTCGAGTCCCTCCCCAGGATTGGGCAGAAACTAGGAGTCATCAGCGATATAATCTCCATAGATAGTGAATGTAAAGATTACCTTTCTGTGGACCTATTAATTTACGACCCGTACTTCGGGTAACAGATGTCCTTATTGCAATTAATTATAAATGTTATATGCTTTTATTAAACCTTTATGAAATCTAAAGATATTACTTTTTGCAGCGATGGCATTTACGACGACGACTCTTGCTCATCAGACACGGTTAACCATGCTATGCTAGTCGTGGGCTACACAAAAGATTATTGGATTCTAAAAAATTGGTGGGGAGAAATGTGGGGAGAAGATGGATATATGCGTTTGCGCAAAGGGAAAAACTTGTGTGGAATTGCCAACTATGCAGCTTATTCCATTATCTAGTATTTTTGAAATTTTATAATCATGCAAATATACACAGTACATAAAAAAATCGTCAAAAACATTTGTTAAAATAAAAGGGGGATAACGATTTATAGAATTTTAGGTGTAAAGATGTTGGAAAGGCAAAAAATTCGTGCTAGATTGCTACGTAGCAAGTTTACATATTCGGTTAATCGATTAACCGAATAGCCCGAGCTCTAGTACATACATATGTATGTAAATGTTTAAAATAAATTGAACAAACAAGCTTATTCAATATGGAACAAAGAACCACTAAACTTAACTTCGGCGGGCACATAACACTGTGGATAATAGCGCAGTCGAGATATTGGTACGGCTAAAGCTGGTACTTTGAAGCGCGGCCGAAGGTCGCCTGCTCAAAAAGGAGTTGTGCGCCCAAAATATTGCGTATGGCATACCCGAATTTCGAAAACTTAAATCATAATTATTTTAATACTGGTACTCAAAATAGTAGTTTTAAAGAAAGGTTGTTAGTTTTTATCAGGGTGGGCAAAAACTCGGAGTTCGAGCGAGCGCGCGAGCAAACTCCTACTCAATGCCTCGCAGACAACGAGGCGCTCGCAGTTCGTACTCGTGGCAGCAATGAGGCGAGGCACGATAAGTTTGGCTCGCTCGCCAAACGAGCGAGCGCTGCTTGTTTGCTCGCGCTCCTATTAAACGAGCGAGGCTGTTGTGTGTTGCCTCGCTCGCAGTGCGAGGCGAGTAGCTGTCTGCATACTCACTCTGCTAGGAAAGACGAGTGAGCGACGAGCGAGCGCTCCGAGTGTACTATACAACACATGCATTTTTGTGCATAAAAATGTGGGAATGTATGTCAATAGATTATGTACGAAAGTATGTTAATAATTGTATGTACATATGCATACATATATGTAAAGTATTATATTAGGGCAGCATTTAAAACAACAAATATAATTGATTACATACATAAGCATAGATTATGGAATGAATTATTTTTTAGAGTTATATTCATACATGTGTACACACCTCACATGCATATTTATATATGTTTGTATGTACGTATTTATGTATATATGCATTTGTGCTTGTATGAACATATGCATGTATTTTGTCTCTACAGAGAAAAGTAAATAACGAAGATATTATAATCGTTTGTGCCGCAGAAACAAAGAACAAGTAAGCACATGTTAACACCCCCAAAATAGTTTGCTACTTGTAGCAGTTATGCTGTATACCTGAATGAAATATAGTCCTTGGTGAAAGAATTTATTTGTGGCCTGTTGTTGAAGGACATATGTATGC